ATTTTTAAATCATTATCAAATAAAATGATTAAAAAACAAGCAAAAAAGGCTAATTTTACACAAATAAAAAATAATATTTACCGCTAGGTTGCTCCATCGGTGCCCGATGTCTCTCCCAGATCTCCACCTCCTCTCAGAATATGCACAGGACACTCGCGTAAATCACTCGCGAATACACTATAATCGCGTGCGGACTATAACTTGAGTCCAATAACTTGAACGGCACTTCCGAAACGCGCGACGCGACGAACCGGCTGCGATTCGTTTACTTTTGAAGTAAATCGACGACGAGGGTACGTTAGCTTCCCCGTTGGATTTTTACACGAAGAGAATGATTTTACTCAATATCTAAAAATTTATCTAGATATATACATTCAGATATATCCGAAAATTTTTAGACACTTGAGAAAAACTGTTTTTTTTTGTGTAAATATCCTCTGGGTACTGAGCCCTCCCACCACGTCAAGGTGTACCCGTGAGAGGGAAGATAATCTAAAAAATGTAATATATAGCTATTATCTATATTACTATGCAATTACTATGCAATCGGTTAACTTTTAGAAACGAATATCACGTCTGCAATTCGTTATCATTGCGAAGTAAAGTCAGAGCAGATAAAAGGGCTGAATCTTTTATTTATACATAGATGATGTCTGTAAGATATGATTAGAGTCAATAAAATGAAATTAATAAAAAAGGTTAGAAATTAATAAAAAAGAGAAACTCTTCTTTCTTTTATTATCGATAAATAGTTTACGTTTAATTTTTAAACAGATCGTATAACGAAAGGTGCGCAAAAACAAAAAATTAATTAAATTATTAAACTATATTAATTGTGAAAGCAGAAATTGCGTTATATGCATAAGAATATTCATATTAACATTGCTTTTTTATAACTCGTGTTATACCGTTCATACAGACAAGTGCCGTTCTTTTTCACATTTTTTTTTTTTTTTGAAACATAATAATCGCAGAAAATGCTAGATATAATACGAAATGTTGTATTTTATGAATATTCACATAATACGATTACTAGTATGATTAATTATTCATAAAGTACAACGTTTCGTAGTATATTTGGCATTCTTCGTGATAAGATTTCAAAAATTAATATGAAAAAGAATCGCACACGACACGACTGCCTGCTTGTACGAATCTCGGTAAGAGAATGACTGCGCGGTAATTATGCGTAGACGTAAACATGACGCACGGCTCCGTACCACCCTGTGTCATCCCCACCTCAAGGTCGCCAACCGTTTAACTGTCGAAATATTAACGCATATTTTACGACGTAAAATAATATATTCTTTACATTTTTAATATTCTCCGATTAGTGAAACAATTCTTACATGTATCTAATTGTAGTGGCGCGAGTCGTTTAATATGGTCTCATAATTATATCGTGATACACCAAGGAACATATTTGACGTTCATTTTATAATTTTAAATATTTTGTATCAATTAAATGTGCTGACAAAAAGCAAGACGTAAAAAGAGGTTTTTACTAGCGTGATATTTTTTTTACATAATTGTTCACGTAAAGTGCTTTTGACATCCTGATATCATATCTCAATATCATATTTCTTTTTATTGCTCTTTTTTGTGATTTAAAGAATGTATGACATATTGTTAATCATTATTTAATTGTAACAAATAATGATTAACAATATATCATACATTCTTTAAATAAAGATAAATGCAAAAATTTATTTTAAATTATGAAACAATTTCGACTTAAGTGGACAATATATTATATGTTTAGAAGAGATTGAATTTATTAAAAGTCTCTACTTGCTAGAGTAATTATAGAGACTTTGATACATATTAATAATTATAGTCGGCACGCTTCTGTCCTGAAGATTTAGTACAGAGACGAACCACATCTACTTTCGACGATACGATTTTATCGATAGTGTAAGAAAATGTATGTAGTCATGTAGTTTCTAAACTGAAAATGGATATACAGTCGATTTCGATTGTAACAGGAAAAAGGCTGGTATGACCTCTATCAGGTTTCTCTCTGAAGATTCTAAACATTTATACTATGCTTTTTTAGCAACTAACATTGCTAATCTTCTAGCAAATACCAGCATATTTTGAAAAAATGCGTTATAAATTATATATTTCCTTAGCTGCTATAGTTTTCTCAAAAAAAATATGTAATTGTATAAATTAAACCGTATAACGATAACAATACCTTATCGACAGTCAGGAGAGGAATTGAATCGACTATTGTATTCAAATAATAATTTATGTGGATTCGACAGTTGATATGATATCATGATCAGTAATGCCTGCGCTCTTTAATTATCCCTGGTGTTTCCAGTTTAGAACAGTGATTAAAATTGTAAATTTTTTAACATTATCTTGAACATGAATAATAAACACAATTTCACAAAAATAGTCACGTTGTAAAGTATATATGTTTCTACAAACGTTTTTCATTACAATTTAAAGATATAATTTCTTATACTAAGAATTTTAGAATGATATTCGTAGACGGACTAATGGCGAATGTTTTTCAAATGGCATTTATTAGTTACCACTAGAAAAATTGATCGATATATTGAGTTATAATATAAAATATATTTGTCTAATTGCATACAACTGAATTTTGTGATTTTAAATGTATTTAATCATTTTTAGAATTGATTCGCTTGTTCGCCAAATTGTTGTAGCGATGACTGGAGTCGCGATTGTAAAATTATGTAATAGAGTCGTGCAATAACGCCACGTTGCTTATTTGCATCATTTGCGAGAACTTGCGACCCTCACGACGAAACATTATCGTTAGTTCGCTATCGTGATATTTATAGCGCATAAATTATAAGAATTGCACTCTTTGCACTCGCACATGAGTCAGCTATTGAATCGTGTTACCGTCAACGGACGCTCATCGACGTTCAGTTGTTTTGTACGAAGATTTCACATATCATCACAAAAAATGGTTATTGCTGTAAGTATTCTTTGATGTACTCATTTTAGCACATGATTCATCAATTATCTTTCCTAATTGTATTTTAAGAGCCTCCTTGTAATCTATCATAATTAGGTGCTTTCCAGCAAGGACAGTCAGAAAGCACCTATTGTAATCTATCATATCCTCAGGGGATGATACACAATATAAATTCAGTTGTAAAATCATTCATTACAACTAATAAAACCTATAGAATGTGATCGATTCTAAACACTACAATGATAATGTTTGAATAATTCTGGTTACTTTATCTTGATTGCTTGTCTATTGCATGATTGTGATAAAAATTATAAAATCATTCATTAGAACTAATAAAACCTACAGAATGTGATCGGTTCTAAACACTACCATGACAATGTTTGGATAGTTTTTAATTAAAAAAAAAATTATTAAAACAAATTTATGCTAAAGCAAACAATGTGTAATTGCAATTAACATTTATGTGATGTGTATATTTATTTTTGAAATGACTGCTCATCGCTGGTCATTTGTTATATTTAATCGAATAGATATCTTAAATATGATATTGTATTATCTAATGAATATTTATAATTTTCTATTAAAGGATTAATTATCAATTATCAATGATTTTCAAGGTTGGAGACAAATTACCCAGCGTGGATCTTTTTGAGAACACACCAGCAGACAAGGTGAACCTAGCACAAGCCGCAGCTCAGAAGAAAATCGTAGTGTTTGGTGTACCAGGTGCATTTACTCCTGGTTGTTCAAAAGTAAAGAAAAAAACTTATTCTTTTCCAATTCAAACAATTGTTAAATTTTTGATAAATCCAACAGCTCTATCTTAATAAAATTAGAAACTTTTTATTTACATATAGTTTTGAAAGTAATTTTAATTTTCATATTAATGCAATATCTTTTATTGAATTTTCAATATTGAATTTTCCATTTATAAGGTAGAGAAGAGCTATTCTGTATTGATATATCTTCAGTTGCTATATATCTTCAAAAGTATATCTTTAAACGCTTCAACCACACAATAGCAAGCAATATCACTTATATGTTTACAACTGTATAAACATGGCTGCTTCTTGAAATTACAACTGTATAAACATGGCTTTCAAATGTTTAATGCATATTGTTCAGAAACGTGAATATTATCACTGACAGCAATAGCTCTGTGAACGATAAAGCTTTACCCTAACAAAAAATTAATTTATCTTAAATTTAGTTTAGCAAATTCTTATAATTTTATATATACATATATTTAGCAACAGAATAGGTTTTTGTTTGATATAGATTATATTATAAATATGATTAATTTAATTATCAATATTGATTTTCAGACTCATTTGCCTGGTTACATTGCAAAGGCGGATGAAATAAAATCCAAAGGAATTTCCGAGATATTTTGTATCGGTGTTAATGATCCATTTGTTATGGCAGCCTGGGGAAAAGAACATGGTGCAACAGGAAAAGTAAATGTTCATTTAATTATTAAATTTAAAAAATTAGATCTTTTACATAATGATTGTTATATAAATTTAAATTTACTTTGTCTATTATAATTATTTTCTTAAGAAGTCGTTTCTATTCTTAGGTACGAATGCTAGCTGACCCTAAAGGAGACTTTACAGACGCCATGGATCTTACTGTGGATTTGTCAGCCTTAGGAGGCAAACGCAGCAAACGTTATTCTATGGTGGTTGAAAATGGAATTGTAAAAGAGATCAATGTTGAACCAGATAACACTGGTCTATCTTGCTCTCTAGCGGATCGTATTAAAGTTTAAAGCAGTTTAAAACACTATTTTAATCATCAACTTTACAATGTATAGACAGAGCTTTTTACAAGAGGAAACTGAGATTAGCATTAAGGAGAAAACTGAAAGTATTTCGGCTATTTCAGCAGGATTTTTTTAACGTTCTTCTCATATAAACATAGAAGTTTATGCAACACATTGAAACATAAAAACAGAGTGCTTTCTATTTAATGTCTCAAATCGACACAAACATTCTATCTTTCTTGAGTTCTATTCATTCCAGTGAGTAATAAAGATAGAACAATATGTCGATTTGTGTCAAGTAGAAAACATCCCAGTTGAGACCTGAATGATTCAGAATCAAATCAATTGAGCCGATATATCTGTAATTTTCCCTTTTTGCTAATTATAAATGCTTTCCATTTAGTGACACAAGTCAACACAACTATCGTTCTGTCTTTATTATTCATAGAATGGGAAAAAATAGAACATTTGGGTCGACTTGTATTAATAAATAGAAAACATCCCTAAATACCCTCTTGTCCTAATTGATGTGCTTCATGTATACATATTCTAAAGCTTGATTATTAAGATTTTCCGTTTTCATATTATATTTTTCAACGTGTGTGCTGTTAACGTAGCACTTTATTCCTCGATTTTAGCGATTTCGCTTTTAAAATGTTAAATAGAAATATTACTTAAAAAAGTTGAAATTGTTTTTCTTGGTTCATGACATGTATGATATGGAAATAAAAATAATTCCTTAAATGATATTTCAAAGCACATTTGAGCGATCCTCCTAAATCTTTGAATATGTTTTAAGAATTCCGATTGATTCTTTGCTACGAAAAATTTGATATATTTTATATCAGATACTCGTACTAATGTATCTTGTATAATTTTACTTACAAGTAAAAGTTCAATTTTTGAATGCTCTCCTGGTGTAACAAATTAATGGCTGTCAGGATGCATTCAGCAGAACGTTCATTTTACAACTGTTGGAAGTTTTCTTCTTGCTGATTAGATTATTTTTTTTAGAAGAATGAACTTATCTCTGCAGACAATCATAAAATTATTGCAAAACTGTTGTGTTCTGTTGAACACAGCCATTGTATAGCACACTTTATGTTTGATTGCAACGGAGAACATATCTACACATTCTATATAAGAAATTTTAGAAGCTTGTTTTATACCTGATTTTTCAATTATCTGCATGATATTTATAAGCGGAGCTGTCATTACAGTCTTAACTAGAATTAGAACTAGATTATGAGGTGGCTTTTTCAGCCATGTTCAAATTTTTTTAGATTTGAAATCCCTTATGCTATGGGCTTAGAATTACTTGATTGAAAAAAATTCGAGAAAATTTTGCAATTTGAATTAAATTACTAGACCCTTTATAATGAGGTAAAAAACAAAAATATTATACCCTAATGTACAATAATTTCTGAAATAATATGTACATTTCTCTCAGTTGTCGAAAATCGCTGCGGCGATGCTGCAACAATTTTTGATAGATTTTAGAAATTAAATTTATACTTCTATGTAACATCGGACAGATGTCTCAGTTTGCGGCATATTTTACAGATTTCAGGATTACGAAATCATTTTTAAGAAAAAAATTTAAAAAAATATATAAAGCTGTACGTAGCAATTAATTGATTGCATATTATTTTTTACATCTGACGTCAAACAATCAACCTGATGCCTCGAAAGAGCCAAGCTTCTAATCTTTCATACAATATTGTATTACTTACAATAGAAAATTATAAAATCAAATACATATTTACAATATAATACAATACAATATTAATTATTGATTATATTTTCTAAACAACACTTTTCAAACACAAGATAAATTTCTTAATTAGAATATTCTTTGAATTTTTCTTTGAAGTGTTCTTAACAAGAAGCTCAACACAAAGTGTTTTTCTAATGTATTTAGTTATATCATATGGAATTCTCAAGGTCCTTTTATAATAGAACATTGACAAAACATATTAATTTATCAGTTGAGTTGTTTGGAACTTGTTCAGTAAGTTTCTCAACTGTTTCGTTAATATATTTTATTATCAATAATAACTTCTTTCAATTTAACATTTTGATCATTTATTTTACTAGTTTGAATTGCACATATTTCACTTAATTTTAACTTTAGAAACTTTATTATTTTTTAACAGAGAATATATTTTAGATATCAGAGTTTCTCTTTTGAATTGATATCTGATTTACTAAGATTAATATTATTATCCAATTCATCTTGATTTTTGTATATATTTAATTCTGTTTGCTTGATAGAAACCGAATTTTTCAATAATGGGCAGTGATTGACAAGCATATATGTATTTCTTTTTTTATTATTCGTCGAAATCAATTTTTTCCTTGTATGTTTAAATACATTTTTTATAAAATACATCTCATTCTTTAGGTACAGCCAGAAGTATGAGAAGGAATAACATGAGAAAAGCGATTCACTTGCATACCGTAGCAGTTGCTCACTGTCAGTCACAGCGACTTCAAGCGATTTAAGCCGGTATTCATAGTCGATTCTTATTTCAAGACCGTCTTGTAAGTAATATCTTAAGACGCTAATGCAGCTCTCTGATTGGTTCGTAGACCTCTTAAGACTTCTTAAGACCGTACTTAAGACGGTCTTGAATATAAGATCTGACTATGAATACCGGCCTTACTTATCCTACTACGTAGGGAGTTTTTTTATTTTTAATTTTTTTTTAGCACTGTGATTGGCTCGTGTGCAATTGCTATACATTCTAAGGCCGGAATCAGACTATGCATTGAAAATTGAGATTACAGATTGAAAGATTGAAATTTCACCAATGAGGACAAAGAAATTTTGACTCCTTTTGTTCTGATTGGTCAAACTTCCAAGTATCCATGACGGTTATCTAGCCAATCCCGCTCAATCGTGAATTAGCGGTCGCGATTGTGCTTTCCGATCTGTCAAACATGTGTCAGACCATCACCATTGCTACATAGTTTATGGCGAAGAGAGAGAGAAAGGACTCGCGGCGGCACTTGGGTTTGCGTTGCACTTGTATGATCTTTTACGCTTGATTCCTGATCAGGAAATTCGAATCTGCCCTCACAGCCGTAAGTACAAAGTGTGATTGTTATTACATTGATAGTTGATTCCCGATCGACGGTTCGGGATCGTCGAAATCGGGATCGCAGCGCGTTGACATACCGAGGGATCGAGAGAATTCCAGGCCAATGTCAATCTGCATTGGCTGTGCGCGTGCCAAAATGTCCAAGCGGCTGATCGCGCGCCAGCGGAGATCGATGATGGTCGTGTATCGCGTATCGTCTCCCAAACGGTACTATGACGATGCGTAATTCGGTTCATCCGAAGATGTATCTGCTCTTCCTCTTGGCAGCATCCCCGCCCCAACGATCTTGTCGATTAACTCCTAACCCTCATGCGGAATCCATTGTCAGATGAACATTGCGGCGACCAACGACATCGATGATGGCAACGCGATCCTTGTCCGCCTCTTTTTTTTCCTCCTTTTCTTTTGAGATAGTTTCCTCCATAAAACGGGTTTCGTTTGGAGCCTCGTTATTTTCGCCGCTTCGTATTTTTGTTCACACTTATGACGAATCAGTGTATCTATGTATGTGTACATCTATGAGTGCGCGCGTGCATATTTGAAGATATTTTTAAACGAGAAAGAGAGAGCGAAATTATCTTCCTTTTTTGCTTAAACATTTCTCGAGTATTGTTCATATATTTCATGTAAATAATTCTTAAATTACTGTGAGTGAGTAAATACAAACCTTCTCTTTGCTATATAAGATAATAAAAGTATTAATGCACAAGACACACACAATTACAGGAACTATTTTTAACATCCTTAAATAATGGAATCATACTGATGTTAAGAAATAAAACTGTCATAATTTTAATTCATTTTTGAGAGAATTAAAAGTAATATTAAAGCAATATTCTTGAAAAATTTGTATGTTTCAGAAATATATATAGATTGGCTACATTCTGTTTTACGCTTACAACACTTGTAAACATAATTTATTCTTGTTTAATATTTGATAGACAACATGAATAAACTAATACTTATAGCGTGTATGATATATTATAGCATGTACAAAAATAGCACACATCTATAATATTATTTTTTAAAGTATTTTCAAAAAACGTATATGTTCCAGAAATTTCTAACATGCGTCTTTCTTTCATGCTTTTCTTGATATTACGTATTATTTGAAAATTATAACTATAAAGCTATAAAATTAAAATTATTTATATATAAT